TCTCTGGTGTCCAGAGATAGGACACCTGGGAATGTTTCAAAGCTGTGCCAGGGGATGTTTAAACAGGACATTAGGAAACACTTCTTTATCAAGAGGGTGGCCAAACACTGGAACAAGCTTCCTAGAGGGGTGGTTGGTGCCCCAAGAGGCATTTGGACAATGCCCTTAGTAACGTGTTTTAACTTGGTCAGCCCTGAATTGGTTGGGCAATTGGACTAGATGATTGTTGTAGGTCCCTGCTGACTGAAGAAGTGTGGTCTATTCTGAGGAAGCCAGACCGGTTTACAGCCAGAGCATATGAAAATGTATTTTAATGGAAACAGAAACCTTAGATTTTTAGATTTTTATTTTTTTTTTCACAAATTGGAAGTTAAAGCCAGATACAAAATATAGAAGGTCCTTGAGCAGAGCAGTAATTCCCTTTTTTCCTTGGTGGTTTTACAGAAGACAGGTTTTATGTCCTTTTTCCTTGAGGTTCCTTACTACTTACATTTGCATGGCTCAACATTTGAGGTAAGAAAGTAGCAATAATATTAATATTAGCATTGACAAGAAAGAAGGATATCAGGAACGTCCTGAATGTGGATTCTGACTTCCCTGGCTGCCTGAGATTGGACCATGGAGAATGCAGGCTTCTGTCCTTTTGGGCAAGTAGTCTTCTATTCCCCTACTCAAGTTATCATTTGATCTCAGTAGCTGAGCTTCCACCTCCAATAGCTGGTTCTTAGGCTGAAGTGGCTGAGGCCAGATAACTTAATCTATTCCTGCTTGAGCCTAGAAACTTTTTCAACATATGCTGTTGGATCCTTAGGAGAAACAAATTAATCTGGTATTTTGAAGGATTATAACACCTCAAAGCAAAATAAAGGATGGCAGCAGTAGAACAGGAAGAATGGGAAACATGAATCTCCAGAGAAGCAAAGGAATGATAGAAGGCTAGCAGTTATTCCTGAAAGATTATTATCTTCAGTTGCCCTGCAGTACCTCAACTAACTAAATAAATGCAACAGCTGTATCCTGCAGATAGAGAGCTGAAGATGATATCTGCAAGATTCTATCAGTGTTATTGTCTAAGGTTATTAGCTTTGTTTCAGTTCCATTCAGCACATGCTACATCTTCACTCAGTTTCTGTCTCACTTTCATGTTACTTACAACCTAGCTAATTCCCTGTCCACCTGTTTCTCAGCCAAGTTTAATTCAGATTCTGAACTAAAAACAAATGGTAATACTAATCTCGGTTGCCTCATGACTAGATCAGTCTCAAGTTAGAAATTACATCTATATAGTATGGTATTATATTTGGAAAGGAAAAATCCAAGCTGAAGCTGCTCGAGCTTTCTTAAATAAAGCTATTAAATGAAACATGAACATAAAATCCTTTGTGCAGTTTTCCTGTGTGTTGATAGGATGTACAAGAAGAACTCTAACCTGCATGGGGGCAGAACGTATGGTTTCTTTTGCAGAAGTGGAGGTTTTAACTATCAAGATGCACACACACTGACAATACTCCTTAAAAGAGACTCTAGGATGGTATTAAGATCACTTGATAAAAACAAGAAGAAATAGGTTTTTATTATAATTAGGAAGTGATAGATAACATGTCGTATAATTTAGGGTAGGCTGAAAAGCAAATCTAGAACTACAGAATACTGGGCAAAAAGTACTCTATCTTTGACAGATACCAATAAGTAGTATGGAAAGCTGTTAATATTGCTTTCTGACAATGTTAAAGGGAACTGTCATGTTGAACTTTTTCTTGCAAAAAGTCTTTTTGACTGTCCTAATGAGAAACTATGTTAAAGAATATTACTACCAAATATATTGCTCATATTAAAATTTGCCGTTAATTAACAAACAGCTCATCAGAAGCTGGAAACTGCTAGGAAGTAATCTGGAGTTAATGCAAATATGAAATGTGACTGGAAAGTGAACTAACTTCTCAGATCAAGGTAATATTTTGTACTTGTATGGAAATAATTATATGTATTGATGAGAAATCAATTTCTTACAATTTTAAAGAATGTTGGGTAACAGATCATAATCTGACAGATAAACTACTTTTTATAAAATAAATGTTCTGGTTTGTTTGAAATATGTAAGCTTTCAGCTGTCAGTTTATGTATTCTGTAAATAAGATCATTTTTTCTAAGAATTAAAAAATATTTTAGTGCTATAGTGCCAAGCTCCTGCATGTTTTCCAGTGGTTTGCTGCCACACCTGCACACATGTCTCTTAAATAACTAAATTAATGGCCTGATTAACTTAGATTCTGATTTTCATTTATTTTTTATTTAAATAAACTATAGTTGTTACTCAGATGAACAGCAGCTGTGAAGGCTGATACCTTATCCTAAAACTTCCATGTCATCCTTCCAATTTACCCCCTGTAGACAGATTTTGTAGCTTGTAGAGCATGGGCTTATTTAGTTAGCTAGAAATATCTGATTTCTGTTGCAGCCAGTTAAGAGGATCAGATTCTGACCTCCAGCGTGTTGGATGTTGCAAGAGGAAGTTACAGCATGACTTTTCTTTGAAAAGTGTGCTTGCAGAAATGACATAGCAGGGTTCCTTTTTTGTGCTAAATGCATTTTTGTGAATTGTCAGCTCTACAAAATCTGTTGTTCTGAAAGGAAAACTGAAACTTATTTTTTTTCTTTACTAATAACAAAGATCTTGCAAGCCAGGCTTATGTCCTACGTTTGTCTCCAGCTGATTGGAGACAGAGTCAAATGTACATGTTAAATTGTTCTGTGATATCTGCATTAGTTTTACAGTGCTATTTATGAAATAAAAAGTAACCATAAAACCACTTAAATATAATGAATGTATAGAACACCCAATATGGTGTACTCTGTCTGGTGTACTCGTAATGGCTGTCAGCTGTTTGTGCAGTGCCAAATTTAAGCCAGTAAATGTTACTGCTTCTGCTGTTAGTTTATACTGAATTAACTTGGGAATGCCTGTTTCTTGTTCTCTTGTGCACATAGTTTGAATAGTAAGCTCAGTTCTTTATTATGCTTTAATTTTAAAAGGCTTATGGCACCTACCTTCTATTTATGGTAAAACTTCACTCTCGCTTTTTGATACTAGAGTGTATGGTTACGTAGTAATTTGGAGTCCATAGAACAAGAGACTTCAATGGAAAAGTCAGCATTTCAAAAAAAGGGGAAGGACTTGGACAAGCATTTCTCTCATATGTTCCTGCTGCCACAAGAGATCAGGTCATTCTCATTGTCTGGAATGTTAGTTTCTGACAGTAACAGAGCTTCCATACGCAGATATAAGCCGCATTAGTTTTAGTCTGTAGGTTATGTTGTTTCTGTTTTGGTTTCTCCAATAGCAGTAATTGTCCTTGTAAAGAGAGAAGATGGGTTTGTTTGGGTTTTTTTATTATTTTTTTAACCTTTTAGGACAGGAATAATTAGTAATGTTAACTTTGTGTGTGAATTTTAGCGATAGGTTGCACTTGAAACTAGGTTCAGTATGGAATAAGGCATGAAAGGATCTTGTGCCTTCGTGTTGTGGATTCTGTGAAATAGCAGTGAATATGACAAAGTCATTTTCAAAGTATTATTGTAATGCATACCTTGCTGCAAGAATAACAGAGTCTGAAATCAGAGAAATTGCTTTTAGATTGCCAACACTGACAGTGCTCAAGGTTATTCTCATGCAGCAAAGGGTCTGGAAGCTGGTATATTTTGCATCCTGCTAGTGTCCTGGCACATGTTCTGTCCTGGTGTTGATATTTCAGAGGGATGTTTTAAAAGAACCTCTCCATTAAAGCTTTTTGTCTTGTATTTTGAAGAACAGTTGACACCTTTCATTCTGAGAGACATTTAAACTCTTGTTTGCAAATGACTTTAAAATTGCCTGTTGTTGACATTAACTGTTTGCTTTCTTCAGATATAATTAGAACTTCAACAAAATGAGCTGCAGGTAGAAACAACAGATATTCCCATTGTATTTGTATTTCTGTAATATATTGGTTGTATATGAGTTACAGTCAAGGTAAAGATTTATATGAAATCAACGTGTTTCTGTCCTCTAGAGCTGGTGACTGCCTCAGAAATTACTCAGCTGAAGAAACCTTCACAACAAAACAAAAAACAAAAAAAACCTAGAACATGACTGCACATGACTTACTAGTAGCAAACTGAAGGCATGGGCTGTCTTCTACATGACGGGTGGTTATTTATCTCTGACGTGCCAAGTTTGGTTCAGGCTCCCTCCCTTTGTCTCTCTCAGACAAACTGAAAGTTAGTGCTGCAGGCATTCAACTGCAGATGACGCCTTTTTGAGCATCTTGAAACTTAAAGGCTGCATTTGGCTGTCAAATGAGGGAAACTTCAGATTCCTCTTCATCTCTGGTGGTTTTTTACTTGTCAGTTGTTCTCTTTACCTCTTGTAGCATTGGTGCTAGGGAACATACCTCTCTTCACTTATGCTCTCTGGAACTCCTAGGCAATAAATACCACAATATCTTACATGCTACACCTTCTTTTTAGGGGAGAAAAAAAAGCTTGTCCTATGTAGTGTTTAGCAGCACATGTCCTACAATGCAAGGAAAGAACATGTTTTGCTTACTTGTCACTTGGAGTCAAAGGGAAGTTCCTTGTTACTAAATGAAAACTTTACATTAGTGAAAATAATGTATGCAAAGATATGTTCCATAGATTGATAGTATTTTGTAGAGGTGTGTTACTAAATTGCATATGCAGCCTCATGTTCATTGGATGTGAATTCCACCTGTGAAGCTTTGTTAATTCTTCCTACACCTTCATAGAATTCTGCCTGTCCTGTGGGTAGAATTGAGAGCGTCAGCTTGGTCTGACCTACTGACACCCCTAGACACCTGCTGTAACTTCAACTAGGAAAAGTACTGGATGGTGTATGTGAATAGCTTCTGTTCATGACAAAAATATGCAAACAGTTAAAATAATTTTTTTAATATAGTATATCTGTAAATAATCTTAATAAGGTTTTTTTTTAACCAAAACAGAAAGAAGAAGGAAAAATTCAAGGGCAGCTTAATAAATCTGATTCTAACCAGTACATCAGAGAACTGAAAGATCAAATAGCTGAGCTGCATCACGAGGTAAGTGGTAAAATACTACTGTCTCTGCTTGCACCTTTTGTCCTGTCCTTCATTTACAGCAGATTTTGCCTATCTAATAGTTATTACAGCTTTAGTACCTGATTTTGCCAATGTACCATATTGTAAATGAATACAATACAACTAACTCTCATACATTATCTTGGGATGTAGGAGAAGAAAAATTTGCTTAGCTGTGGGATTTTCATGAAATGAGACCTGCATTTATGTTCTGTCTTGGTTTTTTTCCTTGATTTCATGAGTTGATTGTATTTCACTGCATTTGGAGCTGTGTGTGTAAAAATAAGCCCTTTAACATCTTTATTTGTTACAACTTTTAAGGCTCATTTAGTCAGAAACTAAATTGCGTTTGTGCAGGTAGAAGTTCCTGTGTAGATTTTCTTGGTGCTTGCTGTTATGAGGATGAATTCTATGTGGTAGTATATTGAGATTGCTTAAAAAGAAAAAGGATGCTTGCTTAATATCAGTTAACAGATTTTTAAGTTTTAAACTGCCAAAACCTTCAACCTATGAAATTTCTGTCTTCAAACTTCCTTGCTTTAATAGTTGTAGTAACTTTCTGTTAGTTAAAAAGATCAGAAGGTCCTCAAACCGAAGTGGCTTATGTAACCGCTGTGCTCACTGGCTCATTTCAGCTTATCCTGCGTCGTGAAGAAACGTCTTTACCTCATACTGCACTGTGTGTAAAATGTCCAGTCATCTTTGCGTTGTAGCCTGCTTCTCTTTCCATCTGCCTTCTAACAGACAGCTCTGACAGTGTTGCTTAAAACTGTAGTATCGTAGAGCAGTACAACCTAATTATTTGCTTGTTGCCTTTTTGCTTTTGTTAAATAAACATATCCTTTACTTAAGTGTAGTGTTTTCATAAATCTCGGTGGATTCAGCCTTTTAGGACCAATCCTTTGAGAATTAGAACATAGTGGAGGATCTTGGAATGCTGTCTGTGCTATAGATGGAGGATAGTCTTTAGGACCATCAGTCCAGCACCTTACCAATCATTAAGCTGACTTTAAAAACAAATTTAAAAATCAATAACCTGGCTTTTTCTGTTAAAGGACTGTGACTAGCTACTTTGTTCCTTATGAGAAAGTAAGTTGCTTGTAGAATTCCCAGAAAGCCAGATATTTTGTATATTTTGCATTATAAATAAATAAGGCACTGTGCTGACTTTTCTGTCTGCTCTGTGTAGGTTTTGAAGGTAAGAAACCACTGCTTTGGAGGAAAAGTAGAATCACTGTTGGAAAACTGTTGCAAATTTTCTCTATAAAAGCATTTATGGTATGTCTGTGAGCAGCTCACTTGTCACAAAGGCATACAATTGTGTACGTGTGTAAGTTAACGTGAACAGGTTAGAATGAAGACGAGGTTTATCAGCTCACAGAACAATGATAATTCTGAGTAATACCAGTGATGCCTGAACAATTAAGTCTAGGCAGATCTTTATTAGCATTTCAATTTGATGGAAAGAAAATAACACCTAGGGAGAACATAATTTTCAACAGTAGCAGAGTTTGAGTGTTTCCATGCAGAAGAGCACTCCTTTCAGATGTGTGCTTTGTTGTGGCTAAATTTTTAATTTCCAAATGAGGCAAACACTATAGGAATGAGGTATCTTGTTCTAGGATATATAGATGAAGTAGGAAGAAATTCTGTATGTAGTAGACATGTTCTATCTTGGCAGCATTTCTGCATGCTTCCTTACAGAGAGCGTCTTAAAGCCTAGTTCTTGATTCCTTTTTTTTCTCACCTTATTGTTGCACATCTATTTGTATAGTTTTTAAATAAAAACATAGGAAGGAAAGTAGTACTTAGGCATAATCCTTTATTTTGAGCATAACCTACTAGGCTGGTTTTGAGATGATGTAAGGTTAAGTCTGAAATATATGTAGTGTTTATAGGTAAGTTGGTGCTAATAAATAATATTTAATCTTGGATTAACGTAGCTGCTAAGTAAAGAATTTTGCAGTGTTTTCTATAACGGCAAAATCTGTATAAAATGGAAATAGGAAGAGGCAAAAATATTTGCCCTAACCTGCTAAATCATAAGATTAGTATGGTTTAGCTGATACCAATTAAATAAACCAACTGAAGCGTCTCCTGGTGTAGCTCCAGTAATGACCACGTTCTTTGCTTTTTGGCTAGCTGCTTTTTGATTCTACTTCTGCAAAAGCTAAAAGAAACGTTACAAATTTCCAAATCCATCTTCCTGAAGATAGGATGATGATATATGTGATATGCTGACCACAATCTCCCAAATGGTTAACATGTAAAAGGCACTAGTAAAGGGACAAGGTTCTCAGTGACTTCATGCTGCCGTCTAATACACTGTAATTGGGGAACTTTAAACGGGATATAAATTAATGCAAAAAGTTATGATTTAAGGTATGGGTGGGATGGCTGCATGTGAAACATGATTAAATGTCTTGGCATGGCCATTAATGTTGATTCCACTTATTGAACTTCTTTTTCTCTCTCTCTAGTACTGCATTTTTACAGAAGAATTGCAGGTTCTCCATCTGAAGGATGGAACAAACTAATGAACCAACCCTATACTGAATCTAAGTAACTTCAAACTAAGTCCATATTCTGACCTTCTGTCTTTCTTGTCTTTGGCCCCCAGTCGGACTGAATGCCTATGTTCCTGTGTCAGTGGAACCTGGAGGGACATGTTAATTCTATCCTGTGGTATGGTCAATCAGATGGCAATGGTACCAACATGCGGAAACGGCAAGATCCAAACTAACTGCAGAGTTCCAGTGAAAAGTCCACTGTTCCATCAGTGTTGAGAGTCAGGCTAGTAGCCTAGGGCAAGCCTAGAACACTGGTGAGGAACACGAATGAGGAACGCTAGAGAAGGGCAAAGAGAGGGTGACTATTACTGGCCAGGGTCTAAAACTGAACTCCATTCACAGAAGGAGGTGGTGGTGGGTGTTACTACAGCACAAATGCAAGAGGCTGCTGCTGTGGCACCTCTTGACTTTGTAGTGGAGGGAAGTTTGACCCTCAGATTTCAAGTATTTTTCTCACCTGTTCCAATGTGGTAACTTAAATCACCTACATCTAAGAACTTGGTGTATAATTTCAGATTATTAATTTCATTGTTTTAAAAGCTTTGTTTATACTTATTACTGTATTGGATTTTTGGTTTGTTCTAACAAGATACCTGACTGATTCCTTTTATACCTAACCGGTAGATTCTACAGTATGGTAAGCTAAATTGTATATTGACCACTTCACAGCAGGTCTTAAACTCGTATTTGATGAACATTTCTGGAGAGCAAACAGACAACACTTGGAGCTTTGAGAACATTTTAACAAGACTTGTGTGGTAGACTAGTGCTCTGTGTTCACCATCTTAGCTGAGCTCATGTGCAGCTCTTTCTTTGCACTAACTTGAATAATGGGTTAGAAGGGAAATATTGAACATCATTTATATTACTATATAAACTGTTGAATTCATACTTAAATTCCTCAGTGCAGCTGTAACTTCACTCAGAGTTCAGATACATGTAGATGAGTAATTTTAACTTCCAATTATAACTTTAGTAAATATACATTAGTTGTTTTTATGTTTCTTCCCTAGAAAGTTACTGACAGCTATCCTTTAGTTTTTTACACAACATATCAGCATTCAAAGAACAGCTGGTGCATAATGAAAGGATACTTAGGCTGCAGTATTTCTAGTTAGATAATAGCTAATCCTGTGACAAGTTATGTATATTTAGTATCAACTTAATGCTGCACTTCCTCTTTATTAGCCGAGTCGTTTAATTCGGCAAAGCTGTTAGATGCTTATGCCTTATCGCTTTGTTGCTGAAGGCTGAAACTAGTGTGAAAACCTGAAATTTTGAGGATTGTCACAAACAGGAAATCATGGTGTAAACTTCTTTCAGAGCTTTTAATATGCACTAAACTTAGACAATCTAGCTTAGTAGAATTTTAACCTAAAATGTTTTTTCATTGTGCAGCCTCGACAGGCTGCTGCTTCTGCGAAGCAGCTTTATTACTCTTGTCAGTAAGTACAGAAGCTTTGTTGCCCTGTGTTTGGCAGAAGAGAAGTAAGGTCTGGTGAGCACTATACTCTGTTACTTGACTTTATGGTTAATGTGCCTTAACTCATGTAACGTAAGTGACATGAGAATACAGGCAGTGCGACGTTTGTACCATGGGATACATCCTCTCAGGCTGCACAAGGAGTGGTAGTACTCATGGAAGTTGCTTTTGATTAGACACTCAAATGTTGGGTGAAAGCAACTTCTTGAAATGTTTTTACTATTCAAGAGACTATCCCGCTTCAGTAGGTAGTACTGAAGTAAAGCAGTTACTGTATATGGAAAAAAATAAACTTGTAACAGTGCAAACTTTCTACTTATCTTAAGTAAAGTTGAAGCTTTAAGAATAACAGACTAAGATAAATCTTGAAATAGTTATTCATTTCAACATAAATCACATACAGGGGAAAAAAGGAAGGTTCTTTGTAGTTTGACACTTACTTTTAATTCAAACTGAGTGGAATTAAATGATTTATAAACTGCTGAAGTTCTGCATTTCATGCACTGCCCCTCTGCACATGCAGTCAGTTTTTATATATATTACACAGCAGCTGTCTCTGCTTCCTGTTGGATGTTGCAAGGCTTGTATGTGTTACCTAGATTACAGGAGTGGCACAAAAGATTAGAATTGACATGCCTACCCACAAGCTACGCTGGTAGACCACAAGACACCTTTGGAGACAAAAGCAAGTGGTTTCCAGTCTTACAGACTTTGTGATTTAGGACTGAAGTGCTTTGTGTTCTATTTGAAGTGAAACTTTGTAAAGTTTATCTTTCTCCTACTGCTAGCTGACTTGTGTGTCTCATGGAATGCTTTAATGAGTTTGTTTTGCTGTTAAATTTCAGTTTCTTGTCTATGTTACTGCAGTATTTCAAATGTAGGTTTGTTTTAATCTTATGGCAGTTTTCATATTAAAAGATAAATTCTGC